GGAGAGGGTGGGGGGGAAGGGGCAGGAGGAGCAGCAGGAGGAGTGCCTCCTCCTCCTCCCCCTCCCAGGCTGCAGGCTGACTTTGACGCTTGCAACATCCCGCTAGGGCTCGGGTGACTGAGCCTCTCGAGGTCCGTGACCGACCGACCTCACCCTCCCTGTGTGTCGGCTCCTCCTTCGCACTTTTTGCAACCACCGCCGGGGACTGTTGGAGCGTCGCTCCGAGGGTCGCTTGGCCTTCGTTAGATCACCGCCCCCAGAGCCGACTGGCCCTGGCGGGTGGGGATGGCTACGATCGACGATCTTTCAAGCCAGCAGGAATCAGGACAGGAATCGGGACAGGAGGAGCAGACGGAGCAGGGTGCGAGGGGTTGGAATGGCTGGAGGCCCGCGGGCCGGGGAACCAGACGGCGCGCGCCGAATGCTGTTCTGCCACCGCGCGTGGGTCGCCCGCCTCGGCTCTAACGCGAGGGATTGGGGATGCAGTCGACCCGCATAGGAAAGATGAGCAGCCTTACCAAGAGTACCCTTGCATCGTTGCCCCTTCTGCCCATCCTCAGCGACTCTCGCGGGCCAGCCTCGTTCGAAAAAACATTCACATGGGCACCTGAAGCCCGTGCATCCTTACAGCGCCTCCTCATGATGCGGGTTGACTGCAGGCTGAAGTCGGGCCTGTCCTCCTAGAGTGGGATTTTGGACGAAAAATGAGAAAATGATCCAGGAACGCCCCAGAATGATCAAACAAATACACAAAAGATCGTCCCCACAGCCCGACTGTAAAGGCCCGACTTGACTATCGGCACCCTGGGCTGGCGCGCGACGGGTGCGACGACCCTCTGCCCGCGGCCCCCCCTGTTTCGGGCTCCTCTCCGCGCTCCTGCCGACCCGCGCGTGTCCATGGCGATGGGCTCGGACACAACGCTGGCCGGCGCACCCTGCCCGCATGCTCCAGGGGCGCACGCCCCCGTCCCCGCTCCGCTGGACTCAAGCCCGCCCCCAGGCCCCTCCCTGCGCGCGGCATCTGCTTCTTTTCCTGCGGAGGGGGCCGCGTTTGCTTCGATGGTCTCCTCTGCGCGCGAGCGAGCGAGCGAGCCGGCGACGGGGGGGGGCGGGAGGCGGGAGGGTGAGGAGGGGGAGAAGAGGGGAGGGGAAGAGCGGGACGGGGACGAGAGGGCGAGACAGACCGAGTCGGACAATGCGAAGCGTGGAGGAGCCATTTTGGCTCAAGTGACACATCTTGGCTCATGTCTCAGCTCCGTGCCCCACCCGATGCAGCCGCCGAGTCTCCTGTGCGGCCTCGCGAACTTTCTGCTGAGAGGTTCTGACTGCCCAGTGACCGCTGGACGCCCCCAACATTTCAACATTCAGATGAATCCTGGTGTCTGGGTTATTTGCAAACTGCATGCGTCCTCTGGCACTTCATGCACAAACGTGCGCATGCGAGGTATACCGGGGCGACGGCCGCGCTCCACTTTTCAAGTGAAGTTGTTCTGATCTGTCCCCGTTGGTTTTGTGGCACTGCAGTGCATGGCGAGATCACGGCGGGCGTCGCTTGCATGGACGTGCGCCGATTCAGTCTTCCCTGTTCGCGCTCCTGCCCCAGACTGTGGCGGCTGTGCGTTGTCAGTCTTTCGCAGCGCTTGCGCCGCCACCCCATGAGCACGCCGCTTGACCCCGCGAGCCCATTCCGTCATCCGCGCCTCGGTTACCTTGTGTTGGGTCCACGCTCAATCATCCCGTGCGGTGCGTTGTGATACGTAATGAACGCGTAACCAAGCTTGACATGACCGGGAATAGTGCCATATGATCCAATTAGTGATTGCTGGTCCCGTCGATGCTCCGAGGGGGAGAGGAGAGACGGGGCTGGGCAAGGAGGAGAGGGGAGGAGGAACGCGAAGCAATCGACGAATGATGGAGAAGGGGGATGAGGAGGACTATAACGACGAGGGAGGAAGGACGGACAGAGGAGTGAGACGGAGGAAGGAGGTGGAGTGAGGGGGGGCAGGACGTGGAGTGACGTGGCTTGGGCGATGCATCTCGCCCGCTCGTTCGGGAAAGTCGTCGCCGCTGCCATTGTCAGAATCGCACTGAGCCTCCTCAGGGCTTCGTAAACCACTTTGAGCGCTTGTCGGGCGTACCCTGACGTTTCTGTTTGGGGCCTCTTAAAACTGATAGGGTCGTCTTCATCTACCGCGGGAGCCTTCAATTTTGCCGTCCAGGATGTTTCTGAAAGGTCTTCAGGCCAGCTCAGGGGCCTCTCGGGGGCTTCTGGGCTGCCCGAGGCCCAGGGCAGGCCGTTCTAGATGTTCGTCGGGCGTCTTTCGGGTTGTTTTGGTGGCCGCGGGGGTCGTCCTGACTACTTCTTGAAAACTCATCGGGGGGGAATGCTGGGCCGTCTAGGGGGTTCGGTGGGAAGGCGAAGAAGGCGGTGCCAGAATTCCCTGGCCCTTCGGGAGCAGCCTCAGAAACTACAAATGGCCAAACCTGCTGTGTAATAGGACTGTGGTTGCTCAATCGCGCCTCCGGTTTTAGGGACGAGCACTGAACGTCGTGAGCCGGTCTGAGGGCCGACTGGGTCGCGTTGGCAGCATCCTGGAAACCATTCACGCCTTCAGGGGAGCGTCTCTTGGAGGCGTCTTGGGCAGGCTACAGGTCGTCATCGGGCATCCTGGCTGTTTTTTGAGCGCCTCCTAGAATATTTGGTGGCCTCTTTGGCGGCCTCGCGGGTTAATTGGAAACGCGTTGGGGTATGTTTGGGCATTTGGGGAGCTCGTCGGGACAAACATCGAAGGGTAGTGCGGAAAGCCTTGGTCTCTGGGGGCCCTCTGGGAAAGAGCAAACGCCAACAACATACGCTGTGCTACGGCAGGGTTCACATGTCGGAGTTTCTGGCCTTGCAACTGATGATTACATGAAGCGTTTGAATCGTTTTTGATGTGGACCTCGCCTTGGGGGACGAATCGGCCGCCATCAAAGAAAGCCGTCACTGGGTGTATCGTGCAGTCGGGGCGGCAATAACCAGGGGCGCGCAGCGTTTCGGTTTCGCGTTCGTCAGGAGCAGGACATTCGGCAGGGCGACTTCCCTGGGCGCTGTTTGCTTGCGTGATGGTCGGGCTTTGTGGATGGCGCCGAAGGGCCTGGGGCGACGGCGCGGAGGATTTGCGTTAAGGCGGCGGTCCCCACATCTGAATTTCAGATTGGCCATCTCTGAAATTCAATTTAGGCCTGTCTGACTTTCAGATTGCCTCGCTTGGGGGGCAGCCCCGAGGTGTTTTGCTCGATACCTCCACGCTGAATTTATTCAGATTGGCCCTTGCTGAAATTCAGATTGGCCATTTCTGAAATTCAGTCTGAATTTCAGGTTGGGCCGTCCTGAAATTCGGATGTGGGGCCGCCACCTCGGCGCCGAATTCGGCCCAGCCCCGGTGCTGTTCCAAGGAAGCCCGGCGAGTTTGTGAGCGCTCAAAACCTGCCCGCGGAGATACGGAAGGAGGAGGACGACAGGCTCGCGCAGGGTACTTCCCAACCATCCTGTGATGTTGGGTCCTCGCTTTTGCAAGACAACGCCCCACGTCTCCTCCCTCCTTTCCCCCTCCTCCCCCCTCCCCCTCGCCCCCTCCCCCACGTCCAGTTCGTCACGCCGCTCGCGAAGATCGTGGCCCCATAGGGAGCTCCAGCGAAGGGGCCCAGGGGCACGGTCCGCACGTGGGCTCCGCACCAACTTCGGCACACCCCTCGAATGGATCGCGGCCCCATGCGGAGCTCCACCGAGGGCCCCACCGGCAAGCTCCGCACGCGGGCGCCGCATCCACTCGGGCACGCCCCTCACGAGGATCGCGGCCCCATAGGGAGCTCCACCGAAAGCCTCAGCGGCAAGGTCCGCACGTGTGCGCCGCCTCGGTTCCGACGCACCCCTCACGAGGATCGTGGCCCCATAGGGAGCTCGAACGAAGGCCGTCGTGGCAGAGTCCGCATGTGGGCTCCGCATCCATGTCGGCACGCCCCTCGCAAGGATCGCGGCTCCGTATGGGGGCCCCGCCGAAGGCCCCAGCGGCAGGGTCCGCACGTGGGCCCCGCACAAATTTTGGCACGCACCTCACGAGGATCGTGGCCCCATGGGGAAGTCCACCGGAAGCCCAAGGCGCGGGGTGCGCAAATGTGGGCGCCGCATCCATGTCGGCGAACCCCTCACGAGGATCGCGGCCCCATAGGACGCGCTCCACCGGGGGCCCCGGCGGCAAGGTCCGCACGTGGGCTCCGCACTCATTTTCTGAGCACCCCTCACGAGGATCGTGGCCCCATAGGGAGCTCCACCGAAATCCCCAGGTGCGGGGTCCACGCGTGGGCTCCGCACCCATTCCGGCACACCCCTCATGAGGATCGCGGCCCCGTGGGGAGCTTCACCGAAGGCCCCAGCGGCAGGGTCAGCACGTGGACTCCGCGCCCATTTTCCGCACACCCCTCACCAGGATCGTTGCCCCATAAGGAGCTCAACCGAAGGCAGGGTGCGCACGCGGGCTCAATGGTGGCGCAAAACCAGCGCGCGCGGCGGCGCCTTGCTGTTTCGTCCGCCGGGACGCTGAAACGTGAAGGCTTGGCACTTGGATATCAGCGGATGTCGCAGCCATGGAAACGACGTACGGGTGAGAAGTATGGTCGTCCTTCCCTGGCACGGGCTGCAAGAATTCAGCGCGGAGCTGATGGCTCAACTCTAGGCTATCTTCGACGCAGAGGGCCGCGGTGACATTCTTTGCGAGGCCGCGGCGACGGGTTCCCTCCGCTCCCAGTGCAACGCGAAACGCGCAGGAGCAGACCCCCTTTTTTGGCAGGGGGCGCGGGGGGACAAAGAGGGGGAGGAGGACGTCCCGCCCTGCCTCTTCATATCTTCATCCGTTGCCCTTCCTCCCGCGTCTCCCAATTGCCCCTCTTCGCACTGACCCCCGCGATCTGCCCGCGTTCCAATTTCGGCCCCAGCGTGGCCGACGCTTTACGGAAAAAGC